TGTATGAAATTTGGGTTTGGTTTGAGTTTGATATTTTTTTATTTGAGTTTGGTTTGATTTCAAACTTTTATAAAATTAGGTTTGATTTGGGGTTTGATCAAACTCAAATCAAACCCGGATCAAACAACGGAACCCTACTTTGAATATTATCTGAAAGCAGTTGAATTAGAAAATTCGAATGCGATGTACGCTGTTGGTTTGTGTTATGAAGATGGTATTGGAGTAGAAATAAGCATTTGAATATCATAAGTCGGCTGATTTGGCGACACTTTTGCAGTAAATAGTCGATGAGAAATGTTGCTAGTTGCTATCGTAACAGCGATGGTACAAAGAGAAATATTGCAATTGGTTATTCTTCGTCCATGAATTGTCATGAAGTAATAATGGTGATTATATCATTGTGATAGAGATTACCCAAGTGTATAGCTTTGGACCTTGAGTCAATTCATTTATAGAAATTCATTCACTGAGATTTGTATAACGGAAATATTTTGCAAGCAGATAGCTTGTATGGTGTGTATATTACTGATCTTGGGTTTTTTCCAAAAAAAGAAAGAGTAAAGAAAGGAAAAATTTGTGAAATCCTGCTGTATATTGCACCTGAGATTTTGATGAGTCAGTCATATATTGGACGATGAAAAAAAAAAAAAAAAAATTTAAATTACCTTGGATTAATTGTAATGAGTTCAGAGATATCGAAGAAAGTGTAAGGGAAGATTTGCAACCATACATCATGTATATTGGTTCGATAGAATCAATAATAGATCTCAGACTCTATAAAAAGATTGGCTGTTGTACCCTGCAAGAGCAGCAAAAAAAAAAAAAAAGAAAGGAAAAGAAGAAAATCTCTAAACAACTTCATGAACTTGGTTATTATTATTACCAACATGGGATTGGTGTCGAAGAAGACGAAAAGAAGGCCTTCAAATATTACCCGAAGCAACTAATTTGGGAAATCTAGCTGCGATGAATGAAAGATCTGCAGATTTGGAGTATGGGTTGCAAACCAGCAATGAAAAATATTGAAAATTTTACTGAAACAGGATATTTCTTTAACGTCGAAGAGATTTAGCCATCGTAACTAGCAAGAGCAACCCGTTGAGAAATACACCACCTTCCCACGATGCTCTTTCTTCTCCCATATGTGTATCTTCGTAAATAAAGTTGATCCGAGTGAGAATAATAGCCCTATGCGTTGATGATAGTCACGCTAGGGTTATTATCGCGAGGATCACCATCTGATCTATGTAACCTGAGATGGTATTTAAGGATGAGATTGGTCATTGTGATCGGCAGTACATTTTTCTTTCGCTGCACGATTTGGATCTGGCTCTTTCGTGTATAGTCCCGCCCATACCTGCCCTAACAGTTTGTCAAAAAAAAGCAAGAATTCAACTTCACGATCTTAGCTACGATTATTAAATGTGATATTGGTGCTATGAAGGACGAAAAGAGGGCTTTAGAATACTATATGAAAGCATCGAAGCTGGGAAACCTATCTGTAACGCATGATGTCAGTCCCTGTTATTGTTATGAGATTTGTGCAGAGATGAAGTTATCAAAAAAAAAAAAAAAAAAAAAAAAAAAAAAAAAAAAAAAAAAAAAAAAGAAAAGAAAGGAAAAAGAGAGAAGCAAAAGAAACAAGTAGAGGAAGAAGCATCTTGATCACCTTCACATGCATGTGTTGCAAGTAGAATGTGCCACACCGTAGCGTGGGCTTGTACTTGCTACTTTAAAAGAAAGTAGAATGCAGAGAGTTACATTTAAACATTGCAAGTAGAATGCGCCGTACCATAGCGTGGGCCCATACTTGCCGCTTTAGGAGAAAGTAGAAAGCAAAGTTATGTGGATCTAGCATGGCACGTGTAGCCATGCTTGCTAAAGAAAAAAAAAAAAAAAAAAAAAGGAAAAAGTATCCCGTTTGTTGTCATGTGATCATCGATTCTGACATTTGACATGTGAAAAGGATTGAAAATGAGAGATGCAGAAAAACTTACTTATAGCGTTGCTCCAATATCCATTTAATAAAGTAATTGGGGACTCAGGGATCCGCTGTGATCTTGCATTACGAACTTAACTCTCGTCGAAAAAAAAAAAAAAAAAAGATAAAAGAGAGAAAAAAGTACCTTATGCGTACATGTATCAAAACCCCTGGTTTGCCGTCATGTGTAGGCATAGCAAGTAGAATGCGCCGCACTGTAGCGTGAGCTCATACTTGCTGCCTTAAGGAAAGAAGAATGTAAAATTATGTGTAGTTGCAAGTAGAATGTGCCGCACCATAGTGTGGGCTCGTACTTGCTACCGAAAAAAAAAAAAAAAAAAAAGAGAAAAAGCACCTCGCTTGTCAGTACGCATACATGTAGTAAACTTCTGGTTCATCGCCATATGTAGGCGTAGTAAGTAGAATGCGCCGTACCATAGCATGGGCTCGTACTTGCTGTCTTAAAATAAAAGAAAATGTAAATTTATGTTTACTGTAGTAGGTAGAATGCGCCACATCATAGCATGGGCTCCTAATTATTATTTAAAAAGAGGAATTATAAATTGAGTTAATAGGGCAAAAAATGGGTTGTAAATGAGCATGTACAGGTGGGTCAAACTGAATTAGGAGGATAGGATAGAGCAGGAGTTAAATAGGTGAAAGAAATAGAAGGGCGATGAAGCAAGAAGAAACCCGAAGGAACAAAGAAGTGAAGAAGTTGAAGAAGTAGAAAAAGTGGAAGAAACGAATGGAGCTGAAAAAGCCAAAGAAACGGGTGAAGCCGAGAAAATAGAAGAAGCTGAAAAGTAGAGTGGAGAACATCGAAGTGGCGGGAAGGAGAGGTGGAAGAAGTAGGATGAGTAGGAAATATGTGTTGTGTACATGCCCAAATTTCAATCCTTCTTTGTCTTCGTCATGTGACTAGCACGCAACACCCAATAAGGTTGTAGTTATATTTTGGCACCGAGAGCCGCAGTGTGGCACTACTCCTATATGTGTATCTTCATAAATAAAGTTGATCCGAGCGAGAATAATAGGTTTAATATTAAAAATATCTTTTTATTATCTAATAACAATCTAATAGTAATCTAATAAAATAATATTTTAATAATATTATAGTAACCTTTTTAAAATAATCAAATAATATTATCAATATATTAGCAAAACTAATTTTTTTATATATTAAACATATTATTAACAGATAATATTAAGATATTTAATATGTATTTATTTTATTGCAAAAAGATATTTAACGAATATATTAAAAATATAATTAACAGGTGTTTTTGAGATATTAAACATATACTTTTGAGGTATTTAACAGGTGTCTTTAAGATATTTAGCAAATATCTTTGAGATATTTAGCAGATGTCTTTGAGATATTTACTTTATTATCAAAAGAAAAAAAAATCACTTAACATTAGATAGCTGCGCAGCACTGCCACACAAGACCAGTACGATCGGCGATGTAGCGATGATTAAATTTTAGAATATTTTGTTCAATTAACCTATCAAGATATATGAGATTTATCTGCACTGATTAATATGAATAATATGAACTTAGCATACTAGAACAAATAGCTCACTTTTATTACATAGATTTTATTAAGTAAAATACACCTGATATTATTTTTACAAATATTACAATATTGCTATTATGTTTTAAAAGAAAAAAGATAAGATATTTGATTATTTAATATCTTGGATTACTTGTATTAGTGGATTAATCCTTGGCGGTAATAGCAAAAATACATGACTGATACTGATCAGCCACTTACGCAGCTGATCAGTATTAGTTATGTATTTCACTATTACTGTCTAGAATTAATCCACTAATACCCAACAACCCAAGACAGTATTATTATGAATTTTCTTGATATCTAGGTTAGCTTTTTGTGAAATTATTGCAATTGCAGGTTATACAAAAATTCTGTTATAGAACTTACTTGTTATTCCAGTATGTGGTCAAGTTGGTTTGTATTCAAATTATTTTAATGATTATGGTTAATCACATGTTCTCTTGAAGCACAATTGTTAAAGCGAGTCAAATTAAACTTCTTACCTACCTTGGTAATTTATTGAATGATTAAATGATTATGATCAATCAACGTGTTGAAACACAATCGTTAAAGCGAATTGAATTAAACTTTAAACTCGCCCTGGTAATTTATTTGAATGATTAAATAATTATGGTTAATCACACGTTCTCTTGAAATACAATCATTATAGCAATCATACATTCTCTTAAATACAATCGTTAAAGTGTATTGAATTAAACTTCGTTCTCACCCTAGTAATTTATTTGAATGATTGAAATGATTATAGTTAATCATATGTTCTTTTGAAATACAATCGTTAAAGCAAATCGAATTAAACTTTGTACTCACCCTGGTAATTTATTTGAACGATTGAATGATTACGGTTAATCACACGTTCTCTTTGAAACACAATCGTTAAAATGAATCGAATTTAACTTATTGCGGTTTGCAAAAAATGTGAAATTTGCAGATCAAAAAAAAAAAAGTAATCGATGATTTCTGATTCTGATTGCCGATTTTTTTAACATTTTTTTGCAGAAATAAAAGTTGTAGATTCATAATTTTGTAACATATTTTGATTTAACATCTTTTGTAGGAATATATTTTGCATACTCTTCATGTTGTAAAGAACTTGATTGTGTAATATTAAATTTTGCTTCTTTTCTAGCCCGGTAAAATTTACTATTGCATGAAAAGCAAGAAGAAAATTTAAAAGCTGCAATAAATTCAATCTTATAAGGATTATTACATGATATTGCTAGAAGTTGATAAAAAAGACATTTGTGCATCCAAAGCATGTTCCGATATAATAATTTTAGTCATTAGAAATGATTTTTTTTAAAAAAATGTATGCTAAATAAATATATATATAAGACTTATATCTGATATGGTATAATATTGGTAGATATACATACGTCATCAGAAGTAATGTTAAAAAAATATTGATTTCTTTTTTTTTTTTTTGATAATGTAAAATGCAGCTTACGTCATAATTAAAACTTAGAATCAATAACTGTGTTAACTGTGATGTAAGCTGCATACAACGTATTTAAATTAATTTTTTTCTTTGTTTTGTATTTTTTATTCTTTTTTCATATTTAATTTTTTTTCTTTGTATTTAATTTTTTTCGAATTTTTTTTTTTTCTTTTTATTGTATTTAATTTTTTCATTTTAACTCTTGAGAATTATATTTTGGTGCAGCACCTGGTCACAGGGTATAAATACTGATTATCAATCATATTAGATCAGTTGATTTTTTTTTTCAACGTTATACTGTTATTAATATTTTTTTTTCTTTTCTTTTATGACAGTTTCAGGTTGTTTTTGTTGTTGGTGTCATTGGTATTAGATTCTTCACTTGGAGTTAGTGTCATTGTCATTAATGGAGCCGTCATTTAGAGTTGAAATCATGGTTTTAGCTTCGTCATTAGTGCTTTGGTTAATTGTGGGTTGGCATTGTTGTTGGCTGTTGTTGGTGGGAATTTGTGTCATTATCAGGTATGTTGTTTAGGTATTGCTTCTTGTATATTGGTAATGATGGTCTTGGTTAACGAAGCCATTTCTGGTACGTACCTAGTTTTGTTACTGGCATATCATTGTCTTGAAAATCTTGGGAAGTATGATTTTGTAGATTAGTTGTTCTTGTTTTTTTATTACTTGTGAATGCATTACTTGCATTTTTTCTGTTCTAGTTTTTTAGGTTTTTTTTTGGACGTAGGGCTTTTTTTGTTTTTGGATTTATGAAGTATAACTTGCGAATCCAGGACATATGGTCTTATTTTTTGTTGCTGTTTTTGTCTTGAGAACTTAATAGGTTAAATTTGATTTTGCATTCCATTTTTACTAACATTTTCAATTATCACTTTTCTAGTGCTATTGTGCAATTTCTCTGTCCTTGTTGGTGTTGTTATTGTTATCATCATTGGAGTGGTGAAATAAAATGCCTTTATCATTGACATTGTTGCTATTTTTTGCTTTCCATTTTTACTAACGTTTTCAATTTGTTATTGTTATCATTATTGGAGTGGTGAAATAAAATACTTTCGTCATTGCATCATCGCTATTGGAGATTTCACTGTCAATTTTGTCATTATCATTGGTGGTCATCATAATTGAGAGTCTTGGATTAATCGATTTTGCTTTTAGTTGGGCTAGAGTTTCTTGGAATTTATTGTCTTTGGTGTTATTTAGGGTTAGATTTATGGTGTTTTGGATTTTATTGCTTTTACTGTGGTTTTAGTTAAGGTTAGGGTAGTTAGTTATTGAATTAGTATCATTTTGTAATGACATAATTGTTGTGTCATGCCGTGCAAGTATAATAAATTAATTGTATACAATACAGTAATATAAATCACTATTAATTGCTGTAAATCATTATTAATAAGTTGTTTATCACATGACTAGAGTGCAGGTGCACCAATCCATTTTATCTATTTAAAATTTATTTAAAACTATTTAAAATCTATTTAAAATTTATTTAAAATCTATTTAAAATCTATTTAAAATTTATTTAAATCTATTTAAAATCTATTTAAAATCTTTTTAGAATCTATTTAAATCTATTTAAAATCTAGTTAAAATCTATTTAAAACATATTAAAATCCATTTAAAACCTTTTCTAAAATCTATTTATAATATATTTTATCTATTTTTTAACTATTTTAATTATATTATTATTTAATTGGATGTTCTATAGAATAGGTGGGCAGACTCCGCAAACTCAGCAACTCCGCTAAATATTTATTAATGATTACTAATTAGTAGCAGAGTTTATTTTTTATATTGCCCACCTATTATATAGAACATCCATTTAATTATATATATATTGATTTTTTATAACAATTAGCTAGTAATAAGATAATAACAAGCTAATTAAAAGTAATTTAAAAGTAATATAGTAGAATAAAAAATATTTTTATTATAATTTAATTATAATTTAATTATAATTTAATTATATTGTAACTATATAATAAATATATTTAGCAAAATCGAAGGTTTCTGCAAAGTAATTGACCTGTGCGTTATTTCAAGTACGTGCATGTGTGTTATTTTGAAACAAGGGTTGAATTCGCCCCTCTAATCATAATAAGTAGTATTTATTTAGAATAAGAATTAAAAAGTGCTCTGGTTGATATTAACAAAAGTTATTCTTTAAGGATCCATATTATTTCACCAACAAGTTCATTTTACCAATAATTTATTTTACCGAAGCTCATTTTCACTGACATAAATTACACTAACATTACAGCTGTTCTAAAAATTCTGGAACAAACTAAAAATTTGGTAGTTTTCAGAAATCTCTTCAGTTTCATCTTATGAATCATCTAACTTTCCAGAAAATACATTGCTATCACCAGACAAAAGTTCTGAAGACAATGATATGATTCCAAAGAGTTAGATGACCTTTAAGACAAAACAGAAGAGATTTTGGAAAATGACAAATTTTTAGTTTGTCCCAAAATTTATGAGAACAACTATAACTCTAATTCTAACCTAACCCTAATAATATTGATCAGAATTCCTTTGTCTATAAAATGTGCTTCGATAAATTAAATTACAGTGAAATAAACTTTCTAGTAAGTAATTGGTGGTGTCTACGAAGTCGATGAGTTGATTGTACCTGTTCTTTGGATCTAACGGTAATAAAATCATTAAATGGTCTAGTAGTTTACCCACAATGGTTTTATAAAGTTTATTTATCTTTATTTATATAATTTTGTGAAATTTTAAAGACAATTTTACAATTTCCGAGCAACTTATATTAATTCTAAAAATAGGTTTATTTATACTACTTTATTTTTACATTTATTTATATAGATGTGCATTAATTCAGGACGCCCACGGGTGCTAATTTGAAGCCACATATATTATTTTAGGGGTATCTAATTTTCAAATTAATGCCCCTGAGCGTTATTTCGTACTTTTACGGTATACTAAATTTTGATCGTACGTATGGTTAATATATTAGAAATCACTTTTACATTTTCATTAATAAACAATTGACATACATGAGTTTAATTAAAATGTAATGCACAATTTTTTAAAAAAAATTTCTTTACAAAATGGCCTCAAATGCTTTATTAGTTATTAATTTTTTATTTTGGTTCAAACCTTTGAAAAAATTGTTGACAGCTATAAATGGTCGAATAGCCGAAAAAATATGAAAGTAGTATAATTGATTATTCAAAATATGATCACTGTTTAGCTGTTTTAAAACTCTAATTAACACAAAAACCAAGCTTTATTGGGTTCTTAATACCTTTCAAATTATAGTAGTTAAAATTAGGAGTTATCGAAGAGTGAATATTTAGTTGGATAAACATAACTGTGGTTATCCTATTGAAGATTTATGAAACATGGTACCTCTCAAAACTCAACTACTAATAAGACCTCTCTCTCTTCGAAATATCACAAAACATTTAATAAGAAATTGATTATAATACAAAAAATAATGGAAATCACTGTAATATAAAATAAAATCTTATCTTGCTTTTTGTACTTTTCAATGTAGTTGAGTCATATTCTGTTAAGCGCTTTTTATACTGTATTTCAAAATTTTATGTGTTTTAAACTTCACTAAAATGTTTTTTTTTATTACTTTATTAAGTAGTTTTAATATTGCAGTAGCATATAGTTAATTTAAATGGCATAATTAATAAATATATAATTTGTATATATTTTTTTTCTTTTTTTTATTCATAATTTATTATTGTAAATGATACCGATTGGAATATGATGTACTTTATTTTACTATTTTAATGTTATGTACATACGTCAATTTTTAATTGAAAAAGTACAAACTTGGAAATTTCAATTTTTATAAGTAACTCTTTTAATGATTGAGATCAAGGCTAGAAAAAAAGTAACTTTGGTTTGAAAATTATTCTTTTACAAGCCATACGTACTATCATAATTTCTCATCCTAATTTGCGTTTCCATATAGTACTACTTTACTATATACTCACATGTTTCTGGTATGGTATGGCGAGTATATAGTAAAGTAGTACAGTATGAAAACACAAATTAGGACAGACATATAGACAGTACATATGATTTGTAAAAGAAAAGCTTTCAAATCAAAGTTACTTTTTTTACTAGCCTTGATCCTAACCATTAAAAGGTTTACTTATAAAAATTGAATTTCGCAATGAAATAACTTCAAAATTATAAGTAATAGTTAAAATTATTTATTAAACAAATTTTTACAAAATAAAAAAGAAAAAAAAAAAAAGCTAATCTACATTAAAAAAATGACTGTTTCAAGACTATTATCATCATCGTTATATTTCTCAAGAGTATTGGCCAACATGGCCTGGGCTTGGTTTCTTTCCTAAACTAAGTCCTCTGTTTTTCTTCTTTAATCTTTTTCCTGTTCCAACAGGACAAAATCTTTCTGCCACTCCACAATTTTCTCCTCCAACTTCGCTACCACCTTATCATGCTCATATTTTTCCTTCTTGATCTTCATTTTCAGGACTTTACTCTCCACCTCCAACTGATTTATCATTTCATCCCTCTCAATTTAGTTGTAAATTGCTTGTCTTTCCAGCATACCCTGGGTCTTGCAGTTTTTTTTTCAGCTTTCTATGAAAATTAAAAAAGTAGTTGAAAAAATGAAATTATATAGTGGATTTAAAAAAATT